ATTTCCCTGGCATCCACGCTGCCACCCTCAGGCTTCCTGCAGAGATATCTGCATAAAACCAGGAAAAATACAAAAAATATAATAACATGATATCCATCAGATTAGTTAACAAGATTAGTTTTGCATTAAAGCTAATCCAAGGCATTATTTTATGTCATAAAATGTTTCACATGCAACAAGTTTCCTGAAAAAGCATTTGGATTAATCTGTGAAGAAAAACAGGAGACCCGTTTTATGAAAAAGCCTAACGATCTAAGCTTCCAGACATTCTGAATGTTTTTGTTTCCAGATGGACCGCTCTCTGAAGCCTCTGGGGCCACTGTCCTTCCACAGGCTGTCGGAGGACATGAAGGCCAAGAAAGACAACGTGGCCTTCCAGATCAAAGAGTCTCTGATGGAGGAACGTGTCAGCAGCTCCAGCAGTACTGAGGTCCAGTGGCCTTTCTATTCCAGAACAATTCAGAGGTCAGAGTTCATAAGCTGGTCTGGTACCGGACTGAAACTAAAAGCAGAAGATGCTAAATGGCAACTTCTGAAGATGATGAGCATAGATCTGGGAGACACGAGGAGAAGAACTACTCCACAGTAATCTGCTTGCTCCGTTAGCGTCTTCTATCCTACGGTTCAAACACCCCCCCTTCTCCCTGCAGACGATCTAACGCTCTGTTATCAAGTTTGGGGTTCACCATTAACTTCCACGTCTTTTATAAAACATTTTGGTCTGTTTAGACTACAAAAAAGTGAAAGAAAGCCAAGAAAGTTAACTTCCAATGGTTCATAAAGGACAATAGAGACATGGGTATTTAACAGTGGCGGCCGGCCCATAGGGGGCGCTGGGGCACCGCCCTCCCTGATAAGAAGAGAGAAACGTAAAATATATTTTTAGAAATTAACTCATAAATGTCAGTTTTATTCTCTAGACTGTGTACATATAAGCAAAACAAATTATATAAACTACATTTCCCTATCTACTGTCATTAATTTGTGGATTTCCACAGACAGACTCCTACCGTCTCTGTTCTGGGGGCGCTGATCAGACTGACCCACATTTGCAGAGAATCTGTCAATCATGTACTATTGCTAGGTGAATTTAATGGCCAATCAGCGTCTCGGAACTTTATGGTATTGGGGCGCTGAAAATACTGCGCTTTAACAGGCTTCTGAACCCAAGCGCAGGTGCAGACAGTTAGAGGAAGGATGGCGAATGTAACGAACGAGATGCAGCTTCAAATTCGGTGAGATCCTTATTTATCTACCCGTTTGCCAGAAGAATATCCCTGTTGTAGGATATGAACATTTCATGTCATGGTTATTGTGACTGTGACGAATCCACCTCGTCGCTTAAAACAACCTCTCTAACTTTGCGCGCCACACACACATTCCTGTTATACTGTGTTTGTGAGGACCAATTCACTCGCGCTGAGACCAGTAGCTCCATGAACTTAAAACACACAAGCTGTTCCTGGTTATCTGCTGGCATATTGAGGGTGCACACTTAATATTTCAGTGGGGTTAGCCGTGTGTGTGTGTGTGTGTGTGTGTGTGTGTGTGTGTGTGTGTGTGTGTGTGTGTGTGTGTGTGTGTGTGTGTGTGGGTATGTACGTGTTTATGCTACGGGGACTTGTCATCTTCAGTCTGGCTGCGTCTTTGCTGGGTTCAAACCCAGTTTGGTGTAATTGAATAAGTAAATGAATCTGTGTAAAAGAATTAAGTTGTAAAAATTATTTGTTTTTGTACATCAATTGTTTGTGGAGGTAATATATGGACAAAACTGATTAATGAGAAGAAATCAGAAATAAGAGAGCCTGAGGTGAGGGGCTTAAACTATTTAATGAGGGCTGTGGGAAGAAAAGCGGCAGTTTTTGTTTTCTGTTTCTTTGTTACATTGCTGGTAACTGGAGGGAGGCTGAGGCCCAGAGTATCTTGTACATGTTTAGTTTCTTTTGCACCCTGTTTTGAGTTTTTGAGCTCAATAAATCACCAACACCGGTAACCCGACTGAGACTGGATTCTTGGAGGCCAAAGAACCCCGTCACAGTGACCCAAATCATCACTGTTACTGTTATTATATAGTAAATTAAATCATTACTGTTAAATTGTATGTATTGTCCAATTGTTTATTTGAGTTCTTATGCCGGATTAGTTGGAGACATACACTAGGCTATATCAGCCCCACCAAAAATATTTTTCACCAGCCGCCACTGGTATTTAATCTGCAAATAAGCAAAATTAGGCGTTACCTCGACCACTAGATGCCAGCAACGTGCTTCCCGTGTGAGGCTTCGCATTTCTACAACCCAGAGTATCTGTGTATCTGTCTGTCATAAAGCAGTCTGTTACTCCTTCCCCAGGTGGAGAACTTCCTGGCCTCCAGAGAGCAGCAGGAGAAACCAGAAATGGACTGGAAGCAGAAAGCCAGCTCCAGAGGCAGAAAGCCAGCTCCGGAAGCAGCTATAAGAACCTTTGCTGCTTGCGCTGCATCCAAACACCGGACCCCATCTTTGGAATTAGCTGCATCTGCAGAGTCGATGAGATCAAGAAGGAATATGTAAGGATCATTGAGTGCGTTCACTGTGGATGCACAGGATGCACCTACTGCTCGGAGATCATGCCTTACATGAGGACTCAGCCAGTTTTCATAAAAGAAGCCTAAAGCTTTTGGTTTAACTTCATTCATCTGAATCGGAGACATAAAAAAACCAAAAACGAAATGGACTGGTTTAGAGGGAAGCTGTTTAGTGTAGTTTTGCCACAATGTGTTCCTGTTTAATGTTTTGTAGAATACATCCTTTTTCCCCCCTTTTTTTTTTAAATAAACTTGTTTATGAGTATTTGTTTTCTCCTTCATTAGTGATATACAATATTTAAATCGTGACACCCTTTGATCAAAAGGAGGGAGTGTTCTTGTTTAATATGAGGCTTATTAATAAAAATATCCTTAATTTTTTTAAGAATTAATTGCAAATTCATTTGAGGCCAAACTCTACTGCTCTTTTTATCTTTTTTTTTTTTGGCTATTTAAATTTGATCCATAGGGTTTAGTAATAAATATTATTTCATTTTAAATTTCTCTTGTTGAAAAATACAAATTTAATTCAAAAATACTTAATATATCCCAAAGGGAGATTAAATAAATGAATGCAAAGGGCCAATGGGATCTCTATGGATGTTTACAATTAGGGTGGTTTCAATACTCTCCTGAATAATCAAAGATCTTATCCACATTTCACTTCATATTTAGTCTAGAATTCTCAAAAAACTTCTTATAAAATATATATAAAACATTCTTGGAGCTTTTTTAAATCGAATTATTTCATTCCTTGCTGGGAGGGGGGGGTTTAAGGTTTAAACCAAGCCCCCCTCTAAAAGTTTCCACTTAAAAGACAACTGCTCACTACACTGGAAAAAAATCTAAATCTAGATAAGTAATTTTTTTCTTAAAATAAGTGCATTTGTTCTTGAACTGAGAAATGAAAAGGGAGCTGTTGCCAATGATACAAGACAATTTACATTTAAAATAACAAAACGCAATTGTATCGTCTTACTTTAAGTGCATTTTATCTAAATATCTTATTTTAAGAGTAAAAATACTCATTCTATTCCATCTCATTAACCTACTCAAAATAAGGGTAAATATACTTAATTTAAGAAATTTCTACTTATTTCTAGACCATTTTTCCAGTGTACCATTCCCTCCTACCTAAGTCATCTTTAGCAGATGGCCCTTGCTGGGTTTCCTAAAGCTTTTATCCACACAGTTGAAGCTTTCGTCACAAAGTTCCTTATATTTTAATAAATGTTTTTTTGGATGCAATTCTACAAGTACAATGAAGACCTGCCGGTCCAAAGGTAAGACAATAGCAGAACTTCTCTTCTGGATAAGTACAATAAAACAACTTTATTAAACAATTGATCCAGTGCAAAGTGGCACCATGCAGGATAAAAGGCTACATTGGTAAAAAAACATGATTATGTCGATTTTGTTACTTATGGCTGTATTAAGGGTTATGTCTGCTCTGCAAAGGTAGTGGGCTTTTAAATTCTATTTATATAGGGGGGCCAAACCTGAACATTAATTGTTGCATTACCCCGGTTGTAACAATAAAAGTGAAGTACATATGTTCATAATGACATAAAGGTTTTAAACGTTCATATAAACAAGATCATTGGGTTTTCTTATGGTATTTAAACATTACTTTGGTATAAATGTGGGTTGAATTGATTTGTGCAAATGTACTAAACTTGGAAAGGTACGGAAGAGGATTAGGGCCACTAAAAAAATAAAAAAAACGTAACTGATTTCTAAATTGTATTTCAGTTTAATATGATTAACGTCAGAATTCTGACTTTAATCCCAGAATTCTGACTGAATTCTAACAGCTAACAAAAATGTTAGCAAGAAGCCGTAGCCATCTGTTTTAGAGACTAGCTCTCTTGTTTTAATCACCTTCTGCTCCTCCATTAATGAAACAGCATCACCAGGGACCCCTTGGGCACGTAAAAAGTTGCCTAATTTTCCACCAATGTCTAACTGACCCTCCCAAACAACTCACATCTTTGTCAGTGAAGCTGAGTGCTCCCACATCTCTTCCTTCATGTTGCCCATCTACATTTAGATGAAAAATTCTGAGATTAGTCAGAATTCTGAGGAAAAAAAACTAATCCAATTTAATCTCAGAATTGTGACTTTTTTTCTCAGAATTCTGAAATTAAAGTCAGAATTCTGAGAAAAAAGTCTAAATTCTGAGATTAAAGTTCTTTTCCCATATTAACCTGAAATAATTCCAAAATCTGTTAATTTTTTTTCAGTGGCCCTAATCCTTTTCCGTAGAAAGGACATTTAAAATATGAATGATAAAAAAGTTGCTGCAGTATTCACATTTAACAGCATTTTTTTTTTAAAGAATACATTATAAAAATGATCAGTATTAGCTGAAATACAACCACAGGAGAAGACCTGACCTCCTCATTAAAACTGTGGTTGGTTGCACTGTATTAAAATGAAGCAATGTTATCTGCAGGTAGTGTTGCAACATGATAGAGGTGTTTATGACTGGCGCACATCTCTGCGTCAGAGCGCCTTGTTTGCTCAACCTTCATCAGGAAGAAGCGGCAGCAAACAGAGGACTAACAGAAGGTACGTTTTTTGTATTTTTTGTTTTAGGCTTTACCTTTAGGCTAATATACTGCTGATTGAGGCTTTTTTAATGCCTTCAAAACTAACACGCGCAAAGATGTACTTGAATAGCAGATGCGTATTAACACAAGGGAAATACAAACAAAGCAAAAAGACATCAGTTGTGAAACTAAGTTATCCTCTGAAGCAGGTAAACAGCAGCTCTACCAAGTGAAAACATTAGTTCATGTCATTTGGCTCCGTCCTGCTCCCCGGAAACAGAAACTCATGTGAAACACGTGTCAGACAAGAGTGAGACCTGTAGAGTTTTTACATTAATATACCGATAAAGTCCCAACATTTCACTCCTTAAGTTTCTATTTACAGCTAATAATTTTATTGCCCAGCCTCCCCTATCTGCGCACTAACTTTACTGCGTCTCCAGTCAGGTGTTGTGCTTAGTCATCCCTGTGGCAGTGTTGCCAAGTGTTGACTATGAAGCGCCTAGCTGGACAAAAGCTGGAGCAAAGTAGCGAGCGTGACACCAGAGGAGAGGTGCGCGGGAGACCGGTTAAAATTGATGCGCGAGGGCTGAATGAAACTCTTTCTTTTTCTCTCTCTCTCTAAAAAGTTTTCTTTCGCTTTATATATATATATATATATATATATATATATATATATATATATATATATATATATATATATATATATATATATATATATATATATATATAAGGAGAAAATATTGAAGAAAGAGGAGATAAAAGGGAGATAACGATATAACATCTTCAGTCTGCTTCATCACCTGCAAAGAGATGTAAAAAGAACATCACAACCAACAGATATAAGACATACAATAAAGTAACACCTTGGTACTATCGCTGAAGTATAAGTAGTATTAATTAATCTGACAGGGGGGCTAATTCAAAATAGACGTATACCAAAAAACAATCAAACCTATACTGCTATCACACCAGTATATATTTATGTGAATCCCAAAAACAAAAAAACACTATAAAACACCTTCTAAAAATAAAACATAATTTCATGTACAGGTTTGCTTTTGTACATAAATCTTGCCCTTCTGAGGCTTTGTGGAGATAAATCTGTGTTTTGCATGGTCTACCATTGTGTCACAATCCTAAAGAAAATAATGTACCAGTTTAATAATGGAGAAGCTCTTAGCTTTAATTTTTTAATATATACAAACTTTCTGAGAATGTGTTTATTTAGGAGCAACTATGCACATTAACAAACATCTAGAAAAAGTATATTTGAATAACAACCACTAATTCAGCTATGTATTTAATTTCACCATCCTTTCTATGAGGAATATATGGAATATTTTATACCATTTTAACCAAGAAATTTGTTTATGGGTTTTCTTTGGGAGATACCGAACCTACTATTGTAACTTTTTAAATAATTTCTGATCAAACTTGTTTAAGTGACCAGATTTCCATAAGCAGTTTTGCTTCTGCATAAAATGTACAAACTGCACTGTCTGAAACAGTGTTTGATAAAATTTTAATTATATTATTGACATACTGCAATAATGCTCGGGCTTTTCCACCATTACTCTTTTCATCACACTCACATGTTTAAAAAAACAAAAACATTGTCATCGTGGATGTTTGTCAATTTGGGGTGAAAAAAACCCCCCCCAGCAATGTCCCATTTTTAAAAAAATGATATGTTTTGTCAATAAATGCATAAATGTTGATTCATCTGGAGACTGAAACTCCTATGTTGACAGGGCTCATCTAGAATAGCTTTATAGAGCATGAGTGACATCTAGTCTAGTAATATTTCACAGGTAATTAAGTTAAAATTTGGGGACTGAATGCTTAAAGTATCTCAATAAATAGATTTTTAAGTGTAATTATAAATAACAAAATTACTTCATGTTTCATAGCACCATAAAAATGCAAAAGACAGCATGTAAGTTGTAACAAAATAGAAACTGCAATGCATCCCTCATAATAAAGTCAGGCGTTTTGAAGTATTTTGAAGACAGAAATATGTCTAAATAATAAATAAGAAGCCAAACCAATCCAGAGCAGTAACGATTATTTCCGCCCAACATTTCAGGATAAAACAAAGTCACCCATAATGTTAAAGTATAAACTTAAATCCAGGATCCGTTGCATAGGAGTACGTCTTTAAAAACTTTGATGAGAACTTATTCATTAGATTAAATGCCACAGAAACATTTTTAAATGTCTAAAATGTAAAACCCAGTAACATCTAATAGTTATTCAAAATATGTCAAATGACTCATTAAACAGCATTGACAAAAGAATTTAATTTTTTGATATATTTTTAGTAAGAATTAGTCTGAATGCTTGTATTGCATGTGTTGAAATGATCAGCACATGTAATACAAGCATTGTGAAGCCTCGTTCACATCCAGAAAGTGAACTACATCAGTGCTTTTAGTTCACTATTCTGAGGCCTATTCTGTCTTAATCTTTGACTCACGTATGGATATTTTAATAAATGCATGCTTAAATTAGACATAATCTCCTTTGATTAAAAAATGAAGTTTAGATTTAAAAGAAAGACATAAGTTTGATTTAAACTTTTCCTATCTTTTAAGGTTTCCAGTATACACGCCATCATGTCTGTGTCTGAGGATGAAGCAAACGTTTCCTCACATAATCCCTCAGAAGCCTCGGCTTCTGAGCTCATGTGTCCCATTTGCCTGCAGCTCTTCTCTGAGCCTCTTTCTCTTCCCTGTGGTCATGTCTATTGCTTTCCGTGCCTTGAGACCATGGAAGAAGGCCTCGATCAACACAGCTGCCCGCAATGTCAAGCGGAATACCCAGGAAGCTCTGCTCTTGTGAAACAAGTCAAAATGCCCCAATTTGTAGAGACCTTAAAATCCGATCCTGGAAAAGTTCTCTCCACTGAAGACCATCCTGATGTCCTCCATGTGATATCCAAGAGTATGCAGGATTTAGCAATGGATCAGTCAACTGGTGAAAGCCAATGTGGAGAAAAAGGGAGGGAAGATGGAGTCTGTGAGATTAGGTCTGAATCTAAAGACATACCCTATAATCCAGTGCCAGCAAAAAATCTAAGCAGAGACAAAATGGAAATGAAGGTACCCAAGTTTAAACTTGCATCTCAAGTCACAGAATTACACTTGAAGCTAGAGATGGCAGAAGGTGCTCTAAAGAAGGAGAGGGAGTGGGAGCTTCAGGTGAAAACCTCCAACTGTCAGCTGAGAGAGAAAATATCTGAGCTGCTAGGGCAGATGACGGACACTCTGCACAGCTATGGTGACCAGGTAAGGCAGATTGTGGAGAAGGAGTTAGGTCCAGGTGAAGCCAGCATCAGTAGTCGAGTGGGTGAAACGTCTGAGCTGGTCAAACAGCTGAGGCACGCTGTGCTAACTGCTGAATCACTTCTGACTGAAGATGACGAGAAGGCATTCAGTGACGAACTTCAAAGTCTTAAGCCCTGTATTGCAGAATTATTGGCTAAACCACTTAGAGCAGACCAAGACTTTGTGGAAACCAAGGCCAGCGCTGTCCGAGCCTGTCCCCAGCTGGAGGACATGAGCTCTGAGCTGAGGGAACAACTTGGAGAGATTCAGCGCTCCCTTCGGAACACCCTCAACCCATCAGAGCTGACCTTTGACCCTGAGACGGCTCATCCTAATCTCATCCTCTCAGAGGACCTGAAGACAGTGACTTTCAGCACTGTGAAGCAGTCCTACCCATCCTCACCGCAGAGGTTTACCAGCTTCTACCAGGTGCTCAGCACTCAAAGCTTCTCAGAAGGGGAACACAGCTGGGAGGTGGAGCTGGAAGGTTCACCGTGGATCGTCGGTATGTGCTACAGTGCAAAGCTGGCACGCGTCGGGGTGCCGTCCGCTCTGGAAAGCAGCCGAAGCTCCTGGTGTCTGATGTGGTTCGACAACCTGCTGACTGCTTTTGAGCAGGGTCACCCTGTGCCGCTGAAGAAAACCACAGTGTCTCGCAGACTTGAGGTCAAGCTCAGCTTTAAAACACACCGGCTGAGCTTCTACAACATTAGCTCCTCCTCTGGGAAGACGCATATCTACACCTTTAAGGCCAATCTAACTGAAGCGGTGCACCTCGCCTACAGGATGATGTCAGGGCATCCCAAAGGCAGAGTCACCATTTGTTCATAAAGGGACATTTTGAAAATAAGCACAAAGGAGACATATCAACGCGACTGTATCTTTACTACCACATTTCAGAAAAAGTTTAATATGATAAATCAATTAGTACCTGTTTTAAGACTAATATGTGATATTATATTACTAGTTTAGACTTACACTCAACTTTATCCCTTGGATTTACTCCTTCAGGGAAATTCTGCTTCCAGTAGCCTATATAGAGTACAGAGAGTTAAAGCAAGAGCCATAAAGGATAGAAATATAACAGACAATATAAAAAGTGTGTATATAGTACCAAAAAAGTATTTAAAAAAAGTTGTAATGTCCTGGAATATTTTTCCCTTAGATATAAAAATATCTGCACAGTAGAGAGCTAAGGGAAGACTGCACAGTAGTTGACCTTGGTTAATACACTTGTACTGCAGAGATTTACTGACCTTTTTTTCTTTGTTTTGGTTTCAAAAATCTTCAGAAACATAATTCTGGGGGTATTGGACTGCAAAAATGATCTAGAAATAAGTAAAAATTTCTTGAATTAAGTGTATTTACTCTTGATCTGAGTAGGTAAAGTAGGTAGGTAGAGTAGGTAAAATGATTTGCCAATGGATTGAGTATTTATACTCTTAAAATGAGATGATGATTTAATATGCACTTGAAATAAAACAATACAATTTTTTTCTTCTCATTTGGAATGTAAATTGCCTTGTTCCATTGGCAAAGTGTCTCACTTACATCCTCAACTCAAGAAGTAAGAAAATAAAAATAATGACTTTTTTAGATTTCTATCTTTTGCAGTGTGCACTTCATTCTGGTGGAAAACAATGTTTAGGTAATTTGATGAGATGTGTTTTTTTTTGTCCCATGCAGAGAAAGAACAGGATGTCATGTATGATATAATCAGTAGAAATCTGACAGCTCAATGTAGGCCTGATCACAGTCAAAGTTGCAGACTTGGTATGTGCCCAAAGATACACACCTGGGAGATTTTGGCCAAATGAACTTGGGTGGAGGACAATGCCGGACCAAGAGGTGTCTCTTATTTATTTTTCAGGAGTTGGCCACCCTACCCTCTGCCATCAGATTTCTCAACGCCACAGCCAGGACCCTGGTACTTAGATTCTAATTGCCATACAACAACTGTTGTTTCTATAAATAAGGGAAGAATTTTTATTTTCTATTTTAATAATTAAATGTTAAGTAATTTTAATTTCAACAATAAAAATAATTGCACAAAAATAGTTCAGGCATCATTCATTTACTTTCAAAAGCACTTAAATGTTTAGTGGAGGACTTTCTTTTTCAGGGTGGATAATCTAGTGGTCCTTCTAATTGTCAATCATTCTGCTGATATGTTGACCTAAGGCTGTCCTATGTGCTTTTGCCCATTCTTACTTACCTGTGGTGAGTCTGACATAGTGGAAAAATTGGAAATATTATTTTGGAAAGTAAGTTTGTATGAGTGATGCAAACAGCAACTTTTAAGTAGAGCGTGCACAAGGAGAAATGGGGTCCTGCATGCTCTTCCACAGATTAATAGGCGTTCCCTCTCGACAGCGGGTACAGGGTTGTGCATGTGCATTTTTTTTTTTAAGTGGAGAGAGCGGGTCTTCTTCATCTCCTGCAGATTAACAGTGGGAAAGTGTTTAAGGAACAGGTGGGCAAGGGGGGTCTATCAAAATCCTGAAAGGATCTTGTATGCGTCAATCTTTGACCTGTGTCAAACTGCATTATTTATGTCTGAATGGGGTCAGGGTTAGCATCTGTCAAAATTTAAGTAGTTGTATATTATACATTTTACTTCCTGTGGAGAATGAGGAGAGCCCTCCTGCCCCTACCCATCCTCACGACCTTCTACAGAAGCACTGTGTGGTGTGGAGGCTGCAGTGCCTCAGACTGGGGTGAGGAGAGTTGTAAGAACAGCAGAGGATCCTCGGAGCTCCTCTTTCCTCTATAAAAGACATTTCATCCCAGCGCTGCGTGTCCCGAGCCCGTAACATCATCAATGATGAATTTTGACTAATCTCAGAAGTCTGAGATTAAAGTCAAATTTCTGATGAAAAAAGTCAGAATTCTGTCTGAGAGTTCTGACTTTTTTTCTCAGAATTCTGACTTTAATCTCAGAATTCTTTTTTCCCCAGATTTCTGACTTCTTTCCCATAATACTGTCTCAGAATTCTGACTTTTTTTTCCTCTGAATTCTGACTTTTTTCTCCGAATTCTGTCTTCGAATTCTGATTTTAATCTCAGAATACTTTTATTTTCAGATTTCTGACTTCTTTGTCAGAATACTGTCTCAGAATGTGGAAGCTACCCCTCTAGGAAGAGGCTTTGCAGCATCCAGGTTCTGCAACAGCTTCTTCCTCACCGCCATCAGAATGTGGAAGCTACAATAAAACAGTTCATAAACAAGTTAATGAATGCTATGTTTATGATGTTTAAAATGGATATTAATGGAGGCAGAGCTGAAATTCTAATTGAAACCACCGGAAACAAAATAAAGTTATTTGGACAAATTGAAACATGGAAAATATAATTTCATCATCCAAATAAAGTGTGTAAATTAAGCATACAAGTGTAAATAAGGTGTAATCTGGACGAAAATGGCCTCAAGGAAGTGTTCGATAGGTGAGGACCAGCAGAGCTGGTTGGAGGAACACAGGAGGGAAGATCTTGATGACCTGGGGTGTGTGAAGGATTAGGGAACAAAATATTTGAGCTAGAGCTTACTCCTTGTCAACTTGTAAAACTTAGATTAGTTGGAAATTGTATTTTTTGAATATCATCAAGCCATACAGTATTTGGTGTGACAATTTAATTCAGGATTCTGGCTTCCAGAGCTCTGTTAGACTCACTTACAGTCTGTAAAATTAGGTTATACCGTAATACAAACAGTAGTACTGACGCATTTAAAGAAAGACACGAAGATAATAAAACAGTACATACAGACAAAAAAAATGAAGCATAGCGTCACATAATACTGTTTATTCCCTGGAAAATGGTATAGTTTCATGCTCACTTTGCATTCTTGGAAATTTAATATGTTTACACCGGCCACTGATGATTCAAATCACGAAAAAGTGGTAGACAGACGTGTAAAAATTGACTTCAAACATTTAATCTCATGAATTTGGGCTTTCACTGCCATCTGCTGTCATATGAGAGTGAGTACAACTTGACGAGCATAAGCTTTTTCATTTTTTTTTTGTAATTTTAAACATGAAACTACCAAAGCACAAGCCAAGTAGTAGAACTAAATATTGAAATGAAATTAAAAGCTAAATAAAATAAACCAGGTCACTTAATAAAGCTGCATTTTTTGTATGCTTTGTTTTTATATTCACATGCTAATATTTTCAGAATTAATAATAACATTTCTGTTAAAGATTTCATTTATTGTCTGCACCAAGGGCTTAAGTAGGGAGAACAAGCAGAGTGAGTTTTGTGTAATATCAGACTTTATTATTCAACTAAACAGGATTTAGACGGGATCAGAAAGGAAGGTGCATCTTCTTTCTGCCTTTCCCCAACGATCAGGGATCTCCTGGTTGTGTCTGGTGCTGCAGTGTTCTTATTGGGTAAGACACCTTTAAATCTAGTGGCTGAGCACATAAAAGACAACCTCCTGCTGATATAATATGTAAAAAACGCCACCAAACGTTATTAACGCGACCGATCGCTTTGCCGTAAGTGTGTGCTCTAGATTCAACTCGCGCGCAGACTCCGCTCGCACAATTCCGCTGCGGCTGCGCTGACGGTGAAATGATGCACAGCCCCTGTCAGCAGGTCAGGTGACCGCCGCCGCAAAGGAAAGTGCTCAGGAGACACAGCTATGTCTCGGATAAATGGTCGATGTCATTTATGTTTCCAGCGGATCATCTAAATCTAGCTTCTGTCGGAGTGAGATTTAAGAGAGCTCGACATTTTGGAGAGATTAGGCTCTTGAAATCAAGGCTTCTGAAGCGGTAAGCTGTGACTGTTTACAGTTCGGGGGCTTGTTCTGTCAGCGCATGAAAACACAGGCTGTAGTTTACCCCTGTTTTCATGCCGACACTGAACTGACAGCTTTTAGAGCAGCTGTAGTGAAAGTTGAATTTTATCCACACATTTTCCATCTTCGAGGTGTTTATTTCCAATAAGCCGAGGTGCTAAAATATATATATTTTTTCCTCATGTATTAGCTTTAGACAGCTAGCATCAGGCTACATTAGCACCTTTAGCTGGAGCCAGAAATTCCCACATAAACAGAAACCTCCACACACCCTGCAACCATTAGCTTCTCCTTTTTGCTAACTTCCAGCCAAAGTTCTTACATCTTCCCTTCTTATTTGTTTTAATATTACATTATACTTATATAAAGTGAACTACTGTAACCCGAGTCACTCCCAACTGTTAGTTGGGTGTTGGTTTCTGTTAGCAGGATTATTGTAGTACAACAGCTTTCAATGTAACCCTGCTCTTAGTTAAAGACCTGTTACATAATGCCCAGTGAATAGAAACCTATTTCACACAGGAGGACATGTTTCCCCCATCTCTGGGAAAGATAAATAAATTCATATATCGTTGAAGCAGAATAATCTTACATTTATTTTTATGCAAATATTAAAGAAAAACAAATCTCTTTGATCTCAGTTTATATTTTCACTGTAGAAAAGAAATATTCCAGAATTGTCAGAAACCTTAAAACTCCTATTATTGTTAAAACTAATCTAAATTTTTAGGAATAACCGTAAATCCTCTAATATAGGATGTGGCCTTTATTTCACTCAGGTACATCTTGGTCCAGACCAATGGTGTAACTATCGGTAAGCAGAGACTGCAGTTGCTTAGGGGCCCCGTCACTGACTCCTGGTTGGCCCCTACGCAATTGTGGACTAGGATGTCTCTTTGCAGATGTAATGGTGCGAAAAATTCCTCTTTAACCCACATGATACTAGTTTGACTGACTGGACCATATTTATACACCAATACATGCCAGCAAAACAGACTACCAGTGGAATTAATAAAAACAACATTTTGTGTCTCTTTGAACCTATAAAATACCAGTTTAATTTCTTGAAAAAGTCAGTTACCGTAACGGTAATTCAGACATCTTCCAGCAGCTGCAATTTTTCTGCACAGCAATACAAAAAAAAAAAGAGCCTACACAGAATGGAATCTTAGCCAAACCGACTTGTAAAACAAAGTTTAAAAAAGTGGGACAAAAAGTTGATGGAAACCGTTTCGCCATCACAGCGAAATTTTATTTGACGTAGGCTTAGTGGAAGTAGACAACTGGTATCATTTATTTCAAGGGAAATTCAGAACAACGAAGGCCAACGAAATTCTGTTATTTTAACACTGCCTGGTGACCACCAGACCTACCGGTAATCACATGTGTCTTTCAGATCTGAACGATTGTGTAAGGTCACTACGATCTCTGTGTAAGCATGGGACTTCCCATGCTAATGGCTTGGATTCGTTAGCAAACTTTGCCCCCCTGTGGTACTTGCATGTTACCATCACAAGTTGTTCAGCACTGTCACTACCCGATCCGTCCCAGAAGCACAATCTGTTCTGCGCATGTGAATAGATATACATCCGGGTGTCAATAAATAATGTAATTTTGCTGCTAAAATTACTTATTTCTATCCTTAACTCACTAAAGAATACTAATACACATCTGTAAAAAATGTTTTATGACTTGTGGGACAATTTTTATGGTTTTTACATTTTCTTCGTTAAACTGCTTGTCTGACCTCATCATCAGACATGCTCAGCGCAGTCTGGCAAAATATGATTAAACCATGTTTATCTGCGTTTTAGTTGTTTCTTTCTCTAGATTACGCACTCGTCGCCGTATTCCGCGGCCGGAAATGCTTTTGAAACAAGGCAGCGGGCGTCACCACATCCGCAGCGACAGCTAAAACTTTACTACCAAAATAAAAGTTTATTTAAACAAAGTCCACATCTTATAAAGTAGCTTTACCTGACATAGTCTACCTTTTTTCGTTTTTCTTCTCAGGCGCTGACACCATGCTAGCCACAGTGAGCGCTTTGGCTCAGTACAATGTCTCCGTGTCAGCTACACCAGTGGAGAACACATCTGCTTTCCCAACCATGCATCCTGACGGCCAGGCCAATATCACCAAGCCTCACAAATGTCTGCAGGCCCTATATGAAGACATCGGAAACTCCAGGTAGCGGGAGACGTAGTAGATTGAAAGCTGGCGGTTATGCAGGATAGAGACTAATTCTCTCGTTCTGTCTCAGGGTGCGCTTCTGGGACATCATGCTGCTGGTGCCAAACGTGGCCTTCTTCATGTTCCTGATGTGGAAGCTACCGTCAGCGAGGGCAAAGATTCGTCTCGCTTCCAGCCCCATTTTTGTCACCTTCTATTTGCTGGTGGGTTTAAAAAAACGTTAATTTTAAGATAAGTTTAGTGCATCCTGTTGGTTGTATAATTGATCAGTTTGTTCCAGAACACGTCTGTGAATATTTTCTGATTAAAATATCTGGTTGATTGTCGCAGCTCCAATCATTGTCTGCTAGCGGTAATGCAATGCTAATAACTATCCTCTCATTTGGGTGTCTTATCTTTAGTGTTTTCTAAAATTAGTGACCTAAGACAGTTGGAGCTATAATCGTTCCAGACTGGTTTCACCATAGAGCTGTTTTGCTTTCTCTTTTTTCTGTCAGCATTAATCCATAAAAGTAACCTTTCATACCTTCATATCTAAAACAGTTTTTGCTGTTATCTTATCTCCCTTCAACTGCCTTTTTTTTCGCTGTCCTTTAACAACCAGCAAAATTAAAGGTATAGTGGAGGATTTTCACAAACTTTTAAAAAGACCCAACGAGCATAGCACACGCAAAACCCTGTCCCCGCTCCCCAGACTGAACGCCTATTAAACGTGTATCAGAGCATGCAGGAGGACATTTGTCCACGTACACGCTCTGTTTAAAAGTTGCTGTTTGCATTGCTTATGCTAGCTCACTTTCCAAAAGAAGATTTGTAATTTTTCCACTATATCAGACTCACCACTGGTAATGAAAAATGGAAGCAAGCACGTAGCACAACCTACAACAATAAGGTAGACCACTTATTTTTATGATTCATTAGGAAAAAGAAAATCCTCCACTATCACTTACTACTACCACTCCACCCGTCTCAAACAATAATAGAAGTCTGTTAACAGCTGAACTTTTGCCGTTTCTCAGTTCACAAGAATGCGAGTACGGACTAGTGTCCTCGCCAAGAATGTTCTTGACAAGAACGCAGGAAAGTATGGACTCTGGGAGAACGGGTGCATGCAGCATTGATATGGGTCAATTGGAGTCAGAACACAAATCAAATTTTGCCAAATAAAACAAAAAAGTCAGCATCAGAGCCGGCGGTACTTCACACCCGCTGTTCTGTCAGGTCAGCATACCCCGTCAGACCAGTAAACCCATAGTAATACGCATGCACGTGCATGCAGAGAGGAACATTTAAACAAATTCTGTTACGCTTGCAGATCAGCCTGTCAAGATCAGCATACACTTAACTGTTGTATGACACTCAGACAGGTTAGCTGCTATGTCAGGGTGTGAAATAGCGAACAAAGAAAGCAAGGCTCTCTGTGTTTAAAGCAATTTAGTTTTAAGTTCTGTTTAACTCAAACTAAACTTTTTCTTACATCACGCATAAATAAACCAGTAAACTTGACTTTCAGCATGCTTTGCCTTCAACTACAACTTTTTTTTTTTTAATCATATCACGCATGAAGTAGGGTAGCAGACTACCTTCCACTTATATTGTCAGATGTATGTGAATCTGATGTCTTGCGCATGCGTATTGACTATAGGTGCCGAGAGAGACCTGCTGCTGTTGGGCTAACGTTGCTGCAGTCCTCTCAACATCAGAACTTTTTTTTTTTAAATTACGCACTAAATCAGTAAATGGACCATATAGTGACGCTTAAAAGTGTAATGTTCTCACCTCAAATGATCTTAAAATGTGCTTTAATTTTACAACAGCAATAAAAAAGATAACTATATACTTAATACTCTGAGCTCTGTGAGCGCTCCACTGGAAGCTTCTGCTGCCGCAGTGCATGCTAGGACAGCGGTCAATCTCAAGAATGGACAAGTCTGCTCTGATGCATGCTGGGTAAAGAGGGAGGGGCGAGAACAACATCCGGGGACTTTGTCCGTTCTCTGTCTTGTGAATTGGAATAGTACTAGGGCTGAGGCTGATAACGTTTCACGAGCACATGAGAACGCACAAGTGCACGTAGTGAGAAATGGTCTTTGTGTTTTGGAAGCTAAACTCTCTCCTGCTGATGGGCTATGTGTGTTTTAGTTGTAGTCTAACATCTCCTTTGCTGTGTTTCTCAGGTTTTTGTTGTTGCAGCTGTTGGAATCACTCGCGCCATTGTTTCCATGACGGTCAGCACATCCAATGCCGCCACCATTGTGGACAAAGTAAGAAAACAAAGAGCATCCTTAGAACTGACGATTTGCTTTCGAATATCATCTGGCTTTCATAAAAACTGCTGGAAACTGTCTTTACTCATACCATACCATACCATACCAACTTTATTTATAAAGCACTTTAAAACAACCACAGTTGATACAAAGTGCTGTACAATTTAAGAACACAACATAATAAAAGTAATTTAAAAACAGTTTAAAAAACAAAAAACATACAATTTAAAACTAGATCCCACTGGTGTTGAAAGCCAAGTAAAATAGATGGGTTTTAAGACGAGCTTTAAAAATGGGCAAAGAAGGGGCCTCTCTGACCTGCAAAGGTAAGTCATTCCATAATTTGGGGCCCATAACAGAGAAAGCCCTGTCCCCTCTGAGCTTCCTTTTTGTTCTCGGTTCCTCCAAGAGCAGCTGATTTGCTGACCTGAGAGACCGATGGGGTACGTAAGGATGAAGAAGCTCAGTGAGGTAAGCTGGGGCAAGATTATGCAATGATTTAAAAACAAACATAAGAATTTTAAAATGAATCCTAAAATATACAGGCAGCCAGTGAAGTGAGGCCAGGACAGGGGTCACATGTTCTCTCTTTCGAGTACCTGTCAAAAGCCGTGCAGCAGCATTTTGTACTAGCTGCAGACGTGAGAGCAGCGACTGACTGACTCCCAGATAAAGTGCATTACAGTAGTCCAATCGAGTTGAAACAAAAGCGTGGATCAGTGTTTCAAAATGCTGCCTGGAAAGAAAAGATTTCACTGATGCCAATCGCCTTAAATGATAAAAGCTGGACTTAACCACAGCTCTAATTTGGCTGTCCAATTTAAAATCACTGTCCACCTTAAAACCAAGATCTGTAATAACAGGTTTAACAGTCATAGGGTATCAGTTTATTTGTTTTAGCAATTGGGGGGATAATAGAATGCTGAAATCTCTCATGTAGAAAGACTACCGTAACATAAGTGGTTAAAAAAAATGTCAATAGGGCTGTGATAATGTTTTTTTAAATTATGAATCGATTTTCATATTAAATCCTGAAGATCGATTCATATAAATAAATTCTTCGTCCACTGTTCTTACAGCAACTCAACGCTATTTCTGACATTTTGAATTTAAATAGCTTCATGGGAGGGAAGCAAAACATCTTTAAACTTGGAAACCAAGTCCATTGGATTGTTTTTTTTTTTTTACAATTACTTTATTAATTTGTTGATGAATGTTAACTTAATACTAGTATCTAAAGGTTGCATAAGTAGACACTGATGTAAGTCAGTGAACAGCTTAAAAACAGTTATTTAATCAGCAGCAGGGTCATTATAACCTTGCTGCATTTCTGATCAGTGGTCAGCACTAATTTGCTGGCTTTACTTCCTGTCAATGTATGATGACATCACTTTTTTTTGCCTGGTTAATTCAATTCAAACCAAAAGGAAACTAGCCTTATTCGCTTTTTTCTTCAGAATATTTTAAAGGTTTGCTTAAGATTCACATGAGATTTGGATGGAAACATGATAATAATAACTCCTGCTTACTCTAAAATAACCCCTTAATTCCAGTTCATTCCAATAAATCGCCAATGGACCATTAAATATTGATCCATATCGTCAAAGCGTTTTCAATATGGCGTCTATTATTAAACTTCCTGTGGCAGTTTACTCCAACTCCAAACTCCTTTTCCTCAGGTACTTTATGTTTAGTTTAGAGATCAAGGTTAATTATTTGACCTTTTCTGTAGCAGAAGTGGAAATTTCCTAGCCTGGGTGCCAGTCCGAACTTAGTCCCGCCCACAAGGTTTGAGTTCGGGGAAGTTCGGTCTGGCTCTGCTCCATAGTAGCGCGAGTATTATCGCCCACTGTCAGGCGATCCAATCAAATTGTCAGGGCGGGCTTTATACGATGATGGACAGATGATCAAGAGTAACGTAATCAACCACGTGACCAAAGCGCGCTTGGGTGACAACAATAATGGCTGCCGCTGGAGAGTTTGGGTGAGTAGATTCTGCTATTAGGTCTGTTCTAGAAAATATCGACAGCAAATTAATTTTAAAAGAGGAACAGAGAAACGCGATCAAGTCTCATCTTCTTATTCTAGGCGTGCAACTGCACGCTTTGATTTTTGTGGACAACAACTATGCCTCGCTTAACATACGTCACGCACTCCGTTGCTCTTATTGGTTGTAGGTCTATCCAATTGAGTGCAGAGGCATTTTTTTTCCTGGTTCGTTCGAAACACGCCCCATAATCACAGCTCTATGGAGCAGTATCAGACTCATATTCTGACTAGAATTGAGTCGGACTACGTCAGGCTAGAAATTTCCCAGATCCTTATTGGAAAAATAAGGAGGACTTGTGGTCATCAGAAGTCATCAGAAAAGTCAGAAGTTTCTTACCCAAATCTACAGCTGCTGTGTGAAGAACCCACTGACAGCTGATGAACCGTTTTCACCTCTGATGGGTTAAACAGTTGAAAAACACCTAAGATGGACTGACCTGCTGTCAGTAAGAAATGATTTGTAACATTGCTTCTGTTTCTAGAAATAAAGAAAACAGCAGTAAGAATATTCAATACCAAAGAGATTAAATGACCCCCCACACAAAAAAAAAACAAAAACAAAAAAACTAAACACATATCTGTATTATTTCACATTTAACTAATTGTGCAATATATTGTGAAGTAAATGTTTAACAACTTTCATTTATTTGGTATACATGTTTATAATCTATACTACTTAAAATACAAAATGTGATATCCTAGTGATTAGAGCAGTGCGCTTGTGGTCTTGAGAGGGTTGCAGGTACTAGGTTCGATCCCCACAGCTTCCATTCTAGGTCCCTGAGCAAAGACCCTTAACCCCACATTGATCCCCGGGCGCCGCACAATGGCAGCCCTCTGCTCCCCAAGGGGATGGGTTAAATGCAGAGGTTAAATGCTCCAGTGTAAACTCAATAAAGTTCAATAATTATTATATGTATGTATATTAGATAAAGTCAGTTTAGTCTATCAAAAATACAATTCAGAGTTGGTAAAATTAAATTAACTACATGTAGGTCCTGTTGGAATATCCATCTAATTCTTTTTTTATTTTAAAGATGAAGATAGTTGATAAACCTGTCAGAGCTCCATTTACTCTAAACAGCTGGGAAAGACAACCTCTATGTTTATATGTAAACTTCTGAATTGTTTAAAGGAAGCTTTAACTGTAAAAGTGGGGAAAGCCTGAGTTCCTTTAAATCAAGACTAAAAACACATTTGTTCAGGATTGCCTTCGACTGTCCAAATTAAACAGTTCAACTGTAACATCATTAGTTCAACTTTTTTATTTTCTTTAGTTCAACTGTTTTTAATATTATTTTTTGTTTCTGCATTTTTTATTTTATTTATTTATTTATTACTTGCTTTGATTCAGTTTTATTTTCCTATATTTGGATCATGTAAAGCACTTTGCATTGTCTTTGTACTGAATTGTGCAATACAAATAAACTTACCTTGCCTTGCTTAGTGATAACAACATGATTCTATTAAATTATTAGTTTTTTGGGTTTTACATTTTTATTAACTACAACTGAAAATTGTAATATAAATTGGCCGTGAAGAAAGATGTTTTTTGTTAATAACCCAGAGGAGATGGTTTGTGCAGCTGCTGGGCTTTCATGTATCAGTAGGAAGAAAAGGCCGGGCTTGCATTCCATTCATGCCAGACAGAATCCTGCAGATTTACAGTGATGGACCAGCTATTCTAATATCACAAGGTCATGGCGGCAGCATTCGCAGCCTTTATGAGTCTATGGAATGTGACCTGTGGATGGGCCTGTACTGTGGGTCAAATAAAACGTGTCACAGGAAGGCTGATCTGCTTCACTGCTCTGTGTTGTTTCCTTTAGGTCCTGTGGGAAATCACCCGCTTCTTCTTGCTCGCTATTGAGCTCAGTGTGATCATCCTGGGACTCGCTTTTGGTCAGTTTGTTTCAGTTCTCCTTTTCTGTGTGTTTGAAGTAGCGTGGCATTTCTGCCTTATGTTCCCTCGCAGCTTCTTTGGAGGCTGCAACTGAGTACAACTGATGTGTTTCTGTTTTCAGGTCACCTAGAGAGCAAGTCCAGTATAAAACGTGTGCTGGCTATTACCGCTGTGTTGGCCCTGGCATACTCCATCACACAGGTGATTAAGGATGATATAATATCAAATATTGTTTATGGTAAAAGCGGAAATGAACATGAGTTAAACAAATCGCTATTTTAGGGAACACTAGAGATTCTTTACCCAGACAGCCACCTTTCAGCGGAGGACTTTAACATCTATGGTCATGGAGGACGGCACTTCTGGTTAGCCAGTTCCTGCTTTTTCTTCTTGGTAAGTAAATATTGATCTTACATCAGCAGCAACATGAAAGAAAAAACTAAAGTTTCTGATGTAGCAGACTCATTTTTAGGCTGACAATAATTTGTTTCCTTAGGTTTACTCTCTGATTGTTGCTCTTCCTAAAACCCCAGTGAGGAACAGGATATCATTGCCATGTAAGTGTTGGATTTAAAGAGCAGCAAAGGGGGAAAAAAAAAATAAAATAAAAAATAAAATATATATATATATATATATATATATATATATATATATATATATATATATATATATATAATATAGAAAATATCTGTGACAAGCTCACTGCGATACACTGCTATGGGGAGTATAATCAGCCCTTTAGGGGAAGAGACCCTCTTTGAAGAGGGAGACACAGAAAAGTTGAAGGATTTGAGTTAGTGACCCATACTTAATTCTCTTTTATTGCTATCAAACTTTTCCCTAAGTCTGTGATACATCTGTTCTATTAGCCCTTTTTTTTTTACTGTTTTAAATAAACCAGCTGCAGCGTGTTTTTTCAGGGTTTTGCTCTTCTTGATGAGGAATTTAGTTGTTGTTTTTTTCCAATGTGCAAAAAACTCTACAAATGCTAATGTAAATGTTGAAATGCATTAATCTTCTAAAATATATATTTTCTTGTAAACCTACACAATATTTCTGCTCCTCGATTTAGTTTATTTGCAGGCCTTGGCAGTTGAATTGTTAGGTTACCGATGACCAGCTTCTCTTTCATAATTATTTGTAACAAAGCTTGGTTTGAAGGCTTAATATAGTAGAAACAATTATCTGTGAGTTATGAGGCAAGTTTGATATAAGTTACCGTAACATGCGAGGAACCAGGCAAACTTAACTTTCATAACTTAAGTACTTCTTAGTTTTAAATCATAAAAGGTGTTAAGCCTTTAAAGCCCGACTAATGTAGAAATGTGTGCCACAAATTGTAATCAAAATCATTTTTATTCCCTTAAATAAAAGTAAAAAGAAAAAAAAAGCTTTGTAATGAGAGACTGAAAACGTGCAAAATATTGACAGATAAGATCTGAAGTCACCATAAGCCATATGAGCTAACAGATTATTTTATTAAGTTCTGGGTCTTCTGTTGTAAATGTTTAAATCACAAACCCTATCAAAGGCTTTTTAATCTAATAAAGAATCCACTTCTTAGTGTTTGATGTCCTGTTGTAACTATGTGAGTTATTTTTATGTATAGCTTTGCTCTTTAAAACCGAAAGTAACAGCATGAAAATTAGAAGCAGCAATCACATGCAAAAGAGATCAGGTTGGTTTTAGCTTCCATTTAGTAATGGAGGAAATGCATCCAATAGCATTAGAGCTAAGTTGTAGACGCCTACAATATAAGCTTGTTGGGTAATAAGACTGAATGAGAGGATGTCATCCAATGAAATGGACTGTGGTTGGATGTACCCTACTTTACGTGATGTTTTTATACTTTTTATTTTCTTTTTTTCCCCAGCTAAAAGGGGTTTCTACGTGTACGCAGCCATCTTGTCTTTGCTGAACTTTGTTCAGGGTCTGGGCAGTGCTCTGCTGTGTGCTGGGATCATAGAAGGACTCTGGTCAGTATTCTTTCCTCACCTGCATCCACTCCAATACATCATCACTCTTTTTGTTAATTATTTCGATAAAATCTAATGCCACATATAAAAAACCTCTAAATAAAACCTCATTATCCTGTACAGTTTGTAGTAATTGTTTGTCTTTTGTGTACCAGCTGCGTGGATGTCACCACCTTCCTGTATTTTTCTGCCTTTGCTCCGCTCATTTATATCACGTTCCTCAAGGGATTCTTTGGGTATGTATTCACAAGTTAACTACATGCAACCACATATGATCTCAGTGCTTAATTTCCAAAACAAAAGATTTGTAACATGCACTTATATCTTTAGAGGACTGTTAACTATAATTATGTTTATGAGCGTTGAACTTCGATGCTCTGTTTTATCCCTGTGGGCTTTTAACCTCTGTGACAGAAAAAGGTTTATTGTGAGAGGTAAGCTGAGTTTTTTGGGCCGTCTTTGACAAAGGATCTATTCTCTCTCGTGAATAATGTAATGGTAGCTGCTAGACTTTTTTTTCAGTGTGCTTTATATGGTGAAAACCTAAGTGGATTATAGAATGCACTCATTGTTGATAGAAGCTGATTAACGCCCCTTTAAATGCTGAACTACAGTATGTAACTGTTGTCTCTCTTTAAATAAAACTAAAGCATGTTATTTTTTATATTTATTTTTTTTTTAAATGTCTGTTTTTTTCTGTTTGACAATGTTTTTTATTTAAATTTTCCTTCCTTTGTTGCAGTTCAGAACCAAAGATCCTGTTCTCCTACAAGTCACAGGTGGACGAGCTGGACGAAAGTGACGTCCACCTTCCTCCTACCGTGGCGGCGACCCTCGGCCGTAAAGACCTCACCGATCAGGGGCTGTACTACTCCTCTACGCAGATCGACGGCGCCGGTCCTGGCAGGTCCCGCATGGTTGGAGCGTACTTGGACGACGTTGCGTCAGGACCCTATGGGTCAAGCAGCATCAACAGCATAGAAGCTGACCGCTGGAGACCTATCAATGTGTGAGAGGATACACAGCTGCAGTAAGATGTGGATGAAGGGAGTTTGGTAGGATGGAATCATGGAAGTAGCCAGCAGGCTGGACAACATGGAGGAGTGATGTCGGCCTTTTCTTTATCAGATCAGGTTAAAAAAAATGGACACTTTAACAGAGACTGTTTATCTGTTTGTGAAGGACGGAATACTTGCTTCTGTAACAGTGTCGCCGGACTCTTCTGCTGCTGTTGCTTCACGTCGAGTTTCTGGCCCTGATGCTCCCTATTGATTCTGCTCCGATCTGACTGCTTATCAACTCGTCTCAGCACATTTTTCTCAAACTCCAGCACCAAAAATCCTTATTTATGCAGTTTGAGCCTTGTTTTAAATGCCTAAGTCTGCTAAATCAATCTAACACGTTATTTGAAAAAACAACACTTGTACATTCTTGCATTCTGGGGACCAGCATAATAAGGCACCGATGTGCTTGTCTTATACTGGGTTAGACTTGTACCTGGGCTGGCTAAGCTGTGTTTTGTTTTGTCTTTTTGGAGCAAAGCTTTTGTTTGTGGTTTGTAATCTGATTTATTTGATTTCCAAAGTAAAAAAGATAAACCAGCTCCTACACACAACCATTAAGAATCTTTGTATACTTCGATTGTGTTCATGCTTTATAATTTCTGCCGTTGCTTTGTGTCTTCTTTTTTTTTAATACAAGGTGAAAAAAAAGCATTCCAGCCTCGGCAAAGAGGCTTCAGACTTTGCAAAAGAGTCATTTAATCCTGCTTGTTCAGACTTTGTGTCCTTGCTTTCATTTCTGTTGCGGTTTCTGGTGTTGCGTCTTTGATGAAGAGGCTAGTGGCGCGAATGATTTTGTGCTTTAATGCAGGACCAGTTATGACACCAGAAACAGAAATGATCCATTTTAATATATTCGAAATTGGCTCATAAAAATCTATTCAAAAGAGTTTCTGATTTGAAATGAGAAAAAGAAAGTTATGTAAGGAATTTTTGCAATTCCTATCCTTCTGTTTCAAGGAGGAAAAAAAAAAAAAGTTTATAATGGGTCATACTTTAATCTTCCATTATTTAAAAGAAAGTTGATCCACCTTTGTGTGTTCAGAATCCCCCAAAACAACAGTGCTTCCTAAGGACCAATTGCATATTTAACATTCTGTACAAATTAGCAAGTGGGTGCAGAGAGTATTTGCCTGACTTTGAAATCTTCAATGAATGTTAATTTTTGCTGAATGATTTTTAACTAGCTTAGGGGAAAGTAAGTCATTTTTTTTTCTCAACAAAAGGGGGAACATGAAGGAACAGCATTCTCTTCAAACACCAAGTCTTTCACAGTGAAGTTTTGCTGGTGGTGCTCTAATTACATTGTGTTGGTCGTTCCATGTGCTGTAAAATAAACTCTGGATCCATCCCTGTTTCGTCGTCTTTTCTGCATTCAAGCTCTCTAAAGAATGAAACCCTTAAAGTGCTTCTCCCTCCTTCTATTTGTGAATTACACCCCCACATATTCACTCAAAGATACTGTTCTGCGGTATTGTTTGTTGAAAATATAAAACAAGAAATAAGGTACAGATATCCATTACAGGGTTTAATAAACACAATTATTTGGCTCACTTAAGTCCACCTATTTTGCTTTAAGTATCTTTAAACGGATGTTTTGCAAAAGGCATAAAAGTCAAATTGATTAGCTGGCAGTGGTCACCATGCTGACTTAGCTCATTTTGACAGATTTCAACACTGATTCTGTTGCATTTTTTTCTGTCCCCATAACCATGTAATATTTCCACAGAAGGCAGAGCTGAACCAAATGGTTATGGGGACATTTATCTTCAGAGGTTTATTTAGTAAGAATCTGTTCATAATCATAATTCAGGCCCCTGCTTAGAACCTATGACTCTGGTGAATTATACGCTGATGTCTGCTGGGCCCCTGGCAGCGCAGAGCGGGACAAAAAGAGACTGAACAAACTGTTTCTGTCCTACGCTGCTCTGTGGACTCAATGGAGGCTGAGAGGTGGGTGCTGTCCAACCTTATATCCATCATGGACAACACCTTCCACCCTCTGCATCAGAGTGTGGAGGAGCTGAGCAGCTCCTTTAGTGAAAGACACACCCTGTTTGTAAAAAGGGGCTTTATTGCAAGTCATTCATCCCTGCTGCCACCAGAATCTACAATGCAACAATACAACGGCAATAACTTGTGCAATGTATAATGTGCAATTACTATTTGATACCCTGTGCAAAACCTGTTTCTCTATATTTGACACCCAGTGCAATAGCTATAAATATAAATATCCATCTATATGAATACCAATGTAAACACCCTGTGCAATAATCCTGTATAATAATCCTACTAAATATATATATATATATATATATATAGAGAGAGCTTTCATTTGTGGATGCACTGTATATACTGTATACACCTGTATATACCCCTGCACCTTTTTCTTAATTTGGCACCTAATTCTCCTTTGACTATTTCAGCCGATATGACAAGTACATTTCTCCACTGTGAGATCAATAAAGTCAATCAATCAATCCTGGTTTCCATTTTTTTTAAATCAATTTTTATGCATATTTGCCATTTGGCTCTTAAAGAAACTGATTATTTGAACTATTAAAGTAATAACAATGAGTTCTGTACATTGTATCTGCATGTAATATCTACAAGAGTTTGGCACCAGTGCAAAAGGTTGAGAAATTTAATATAATGCTATAATAATGTGAATTATATTTTTAGGCAGGCAAACTAAGATGGGAAAACGCTCTCCAGCTTTTATATTAATGATGACTTACTCAGCTTGTCTCGCTCTAAAAATACCTTATTTTGTTTCCCTTTAGTTTGAGTTTAAATACATTAATAGAAAATATATATATATATATATATATATATATATATATTTTTTTTTTTTTTGCCTTTAATCTTTTAAGGGTATTTATCAAGGTTAGTGTGCCATCGAGAGGGAAATCAAGCTACAACTCCTAGAATGCTTTGCGCAACCTCCACAGCCTCGCCAATTTCATTGGATACGTCTTATTTAATCCAACCAATGAGCTTCGAGGATACTGCAACGCTGAAATGACCTTTATTGGAGTATTTTGACAAGTAGTAGCTGTGGCGGCGTTTTCCGACCACCGTGTTATTAATGTCTCCCTGCCGTTACAGCTGGTAATAAGCTGGGCTTTAATATTTCCCCTTATCCCGTGGAAATAGACAGCTGGCCGCTCAGAATGGGAGGAAATGGAAGCAAAGCGAGGAATGTGTCTTTTGGGCTGGACGAAGACGAGAAGGTCACAGTAGTTGAAGGAGTGAAGGTATTCCTGCCGGTGGGACAGTCAGTTGTCCTTGTTTAGTCATTAGACTCACATTTCAAGTATTATTAAGGTAAAAATGAGAATGTGTTCGGTCCCTGCTAGCGTAAAAATCAGACTGGTCCATCTCAACTGAACTTAGCTTTTATACTATCTTGGTTGAACTTTTATACTTGTTAATATGAATTAAAATCTGACTTTTAATCAGCCACTAACCTGGCGTTTATACCCTTTGTTAATGTTAGCTTGTTGGCTATATTTAAAGTGAGCTAAATCTTCCATTATTAGCAGGAATAAGCTGCCAGGGTCATTTACTGTTTTAGTTTAATTAAGACAAGACTGATGGATCATAGAGAGGCAGTTGCAACCCATCATTTTGTGTAGGGTGTTTAGAAGTCTAGAAGTCCTGGTTTTTAATGGTCTATCATGGTGTAAAAACACCAATTTCCTGTCATCAGAAAGTGCGACCTTCACCTGTTTAAAAGCACCTGTCTTGGCATTTAGTCACCAGGTGCATACAGGTGTGTGTGTGTATGGACACAGTAGCAAGTTGGAAAACATTAGTGTTTGGTTTATTCTTTGTTGATCATGTGCATTGTTAATCTGTTTGCCAGATTTGATGGAGTAGAAGGCCTTCCTTCACATGGTGGATTGCATTGTGTGAACAGGGGCCATCTGATGAGGACAGTCTTTTGTCTGTAGAAGATACACAGGATAAGGACACATCCTGGAGCCGGACTGATAGAGGAGAGCTATCTGCAATCCTGAGGCATAGAGGAAAGAGGCACAAAAGTCAGGGCATGGATGGCGGGTCATTTTCTGACACGAACAGCTAAGCATCCACCTGATGCAACACAGAAGCAGGAGATGAGCTTGTTTGGGGATAATTTTTTGCCGGATGCCCACGCTTGCTGACGTTTTGAGCCCACAGCTTAGCCGACTCCAAGCAATTTCTCTGTCCTGTAACAATCTGAATTGGAATAAACTCTGTTACTTTTTTACTCCTGCTTTTATAGTCCTTTTTATATGGTTTTACCCAGTTTGAGTTAAGAATAATCATACTAGGTAACTTGCTCCCTGGAAAAGAACCGGAAGGGAAGTTTTGAGGTGTAACCGCCTTCAGCGGGACCTAACATCCTTATTTAGCATTAGCAATGGCCTTAGAGAGGAAAATATTACTGCTTGTTATTTTGGGAAGATATATAAAGTAATTTATTCACTTAAAGTCCATCATGCTTCAGTAAAAAAAAAAAAAAACAGATTATCCACAGACAAATCTTCAGCGACTGCTTTCAGGTGTTCCAGGGATAAACAAGGCTGTGTTTAGTTACTGCAAAACAAAAAACAAGCTACAGCTGGAACCGTACACACCTAATGTTGGGGTATAACATTTTATAGTTCTTAACTATACCACAGAAAATGAGTACTGTAAACCTCATCTTACTTAAATGACATGCTATGAAAACTAGGGGTGGATCGATCGATCGGCCTTGATTTCACATTTTATAGTTTCACTGGTAGTGATTAATTCCTTTCAGTAAAATAAAATTGAAACTATTGAAGGTGTCTCATGATTTTATAACAACTGACAGTGTCGGTTATAAAATAAACCGGTATCAATCTAAATTAAAATTGGGATGTAAGGATTTTTAAAAATCAAGAATCGGGGATCGGCCAGAAACCTGCACCCATAATGAAAACACACAACTTTGTTTTGCTTTAAAGTGATGGCACCTATGTAAAGCTGTCTAGTAATAGTTCAGGGCATAGCAGTTGATGAAAGCCTTTCTTATCAACACAAACGCCTGCACCAGCTGTCTAGAACAGAGATGGATGACTGATGAGCTTGTCACTGGATCAACCAGAAACTCTTCTCTAGAAGTTATCTAAAATAAAGTATGAGGTCAAACAGTTAAAGTGTGTTTTAGTTTATGACATTAAAAAGAGGACAACAGCAAATCAAAGAAACCAAGGTTTTCAAGGTTCTGCCAGGTGATGGAAAATATCCACTGGGAGTTATTGCTATTGAAGGTGTAGCATGTTTTTGTTTTAATATGTTTGTACCTACAATATTCACAGGAAAGTAAAGGATAAAACGTGTAACTGCTGTTCCTTATTCATTAAAAGAAAAATAACCTATTGTACGGCCATGAATGAAAGCCTGAGAATTAGCAGGATTAGGAACTAATCTACCTTCTGTCCTGCTTGCATTACATTTGTCTTAACAAAGTGTTTGTTCTTCTGTTAACATTCTGCTCCAGCTCTCTGAGGATGTTCTCCGGCGGATGAGGGAACCTAAGGGATCGGAAAGAGTTCGGTCTCCATCCTCTGCCTCAGAAAGTCACAAAGCATCACCAAGTATGTTCTAAGCAATAACTGAATAATTCCTTCTGTCCACATCTTTATTTTATTAATAGATAGACTTTATACCAGACTCATGGTCCAATAAATATATAAGATAAAATGAAACCATACAGGTAAAAAGTACAATACAAGTACAATTATTTATTAGATAGGAGATTAAAGGAGACATGAATACCAGTGTCTCCACACCTTACACTGGTATCAGGTTGCACTATGTGTGGTGTCAGTAAGTGAGAAGATAATCATCATTGCCAGATGCATTTATCCTACAGATAAAACTATACGTTAACTTTTGTAAAACAGCATGTAAGATTTTGACTCTTGTTGTGACAAACAATACACTCACACTAGTCCATCTTTGCCAATTCAAAAGTAACTGCAAAGCATCATTATAGGCCACCTGTAGCCTTTGCAGGCTGGAGTTTTATATGTAGACCTCAGGTGAGCAGTCTACAAAGAGGTACAATATGCATTAAATAGTTCCCCTTTTACCACATCAGTACATGCACCACATTTACAAGCAAGGGTGTTCGCTTGAGCATACAACATTCTACATTGTCCACAGATAACATCATCATCTGACAGATTCTCTCTGATGTTGTGCCCAAAATACTTGGTTTTATCAGTAACACCCAGCACAGTGTTTGACAGATTTAATTCTGGGAACTGTATAGATTTATCTTCTGTACTCCTTCAGATCATGGCCACACTTTTAGCTGATTGTACTTAATGTCATGTTCCAGACTGTACTCAGAACAGATGTTAAGTAGTTGCTGTAACCCAGCAGTACTTGGACTAAATGTTACTAAATCATCTGCATACTTCAGGTGATTAAGTATAGAGTTACCAGCCACACAACAAGCGTAACGAGCTCCCAACTTGGTTGCTAGTTCATCCAGATACAAATGAAAAAGAACTGGGGACAAAATCCCACCTTGCGACACAGTCCCCCCATTTAATCTGCAGTGATTGCTGAGCATACCAATATGAATAATATACTCTGGTACACCTTTTTGTGCCAGTTTCATGAAAAGTTTTCTGTGATTTATCCCATCCCATTGTTTTGATGCATCTAGGAAACACATAAAAACTGAAGAGATCTGCTTATTATATTTATAAATAATCTCTTTTCGAGTATATATGCACATATCTGTGCCCAGGCTAACCTTAAAACCAAACTGGTTATCTGTAGATTTGATAACCCCTAAAATCCAGTCCAGTAGGATTAATTCAATCATTTTTTAAACTACTGGCCAACACTATCGGATGGTAATTATCAGAACTGCCAATCTCCTTGGTTTTATCTTTGATGACGGGTACTAACAGGACACTTAACATAGAGTCAGGCAAAAGACCATGTATAAGAAACGCCATAAAACAAATGCAAAGTAGAGGAGCTAGCCTTGCACTTGCATACTTTAAATGCTCTGCTGAGATTACTTCCATCCCAGTGGCTTTATTGTTAGACAATTTTGAAATAGCTTTATGATTTTCATCTGTACGGAGACCATTATTTACAGGATATGGTTCACTATAAATATAATTAAATAAAATACTTTAATGTTGGTGCCACAGCTCCACAATATTAGCAGTGTCAGATATCAACAGTACAGGGCAGAGATGTTTTGTGGGATGTCATACCTCTAACTTCTTTCCAAAAGTCTTTTGTATTGTGACAAAAAAGTTTTCTGGCCATTGAGTCAGCCCTCATTGCTCTTTCATTTTTACTAGTTTATCGCACAGCTCACTTGTGTTGGGCACTGGTCAACTTTTTATGTTCAAAGACGGACCCAGATCTCGGTCTCCCTGCCTGTATCCACTCCTTAGAAGCCTCCCGAGGTCTATTATAAAATTCAGCCACATGGATGTTCCTTCCTTTTCTCTTTATGCTGTTTATGGAGGAGTTTATTTGAAGCCATCAAAACATTAAAAATGGCATCATACACAGAACAAATGGATCCAATGTGTTCAGAATTTTACAATTAGCATCTCTACACTTACCTGCTTCGTTAGGCACACTATGTGTATCTGTGCACATAGAGTAGGATAGCAGTTCCTCCTCTGAGAGCGAGCTCCAGTCTAAGTGTAATTTGTTACTTTCAAAGTTGTACTTTCCTGTCATTGGTAAACAATGTAGATGTATCTGCATCCCAAATGGAATATGATCGGCAGTGGATAACTCATACGGGATTTTCATGCCAGTCAACGAGTCATGTCCATCTGCTGTAGCTACACAGTCATCCAACCATGGGGTTGTATGCCATGACTCACTATTTATCCATCCATTTTCCATCATGCTTATCCCAAGCGGGGTCTCAATAGATGCTGGTGCTTATCTTCAGCTGCCTGCGGGTGAGAGGTGAGGTCCACCCTGGACAGGTCGCCAGTCCATTGCAGGGAAACACAGTGAGAAACAGGACAAACAACAATTCACGCACACAGTCACACCTGAGAATTTAGAGAAGCCAAATAACCTAATAGAACCGAACCCGGAACCTTCTTGCTGTAAGGCAGCAGTGCTACCCACTGCTCCACTGAGCAGCCCTCCATGCCTCACTAATGTACGCAAAACTATCTGTTGGCAACAGGACTTAAGTTGAGAGAATGAACCCACTATCTTCACAAAACTGGCTTAAATGAGTACCAAATATAAATGTACCATCAGTGATATCAGAGTTCATGTCACCGATAAAAACACATTAAGAAACATATTATCTTCTATAAAAAAGTTAATAAAAGCTAGTTGGTTAAGATATTCAGTTTCATTTGCAGGGCACTCATATGGGGTGTACACATTCATGATAACAGATTCCTTGTCATTTTGTGTCACGTGTATTATTATGCACCAGTCCACTTTAAGTTGAATTATTATAACTCAAGGATCCAGTCTCTTATCCCATGATATATTGCAACACTACCAGGAATCTGTCCTCGTATTATTCCATTACCAATATCAACACTAGACCCCCCGGCTCTGTGGAAACGGCCCTTTACAGGGTTCAGACCTTCTGGATCCTGCTTTGTCAGAAAAGTCTCTTTTAGACAGCATATCAAATTGGCATCTAAAGTTGGTCTACAACACTGTGAGCTTTGTCCTCTGCACTATGGCCCAAGCCAGGCCGGGACAATTATATGACATAACTTTAAGAGCCATCTGTACAGGTTTATTTGGCCTCGGTGCCACAGGCCAGTGAAGCCCCTCCCATCTGCATACCCGGAGGAACCGCACCGTTCATTCCTGCAGCTCCAGCCCTATATGGCTCATAAAACACCGAACATCCAACTGGCCAGAGTTCAGGATTGTACATCTCCGCCACATTATAACACTATATATAATAGACAAACCTGCTGTTTTCAGAGCTTATTTTCAGGCATGTATCGAGAATTTAGAAGCGAAGACACTCACCAGTTTGGTTGGAACTGTTTTTATGTTTCTTGCAGTCCCTGTGCCCACAATAGCCATTTTTTTCACTCCAGGTGTAGTATAGCACTCCACTTTAGGGATTCAGGCGGATATGTACTTTCACCAGAGATCTTGCGGCAGCATCCACGCAACAGTGCTTTTACTTCTGAGATCAGGCCACAGTCTTCGCCGTATCTGCACTCACCGTCCTTGCAGTCTCTGTCACTGTGTCCGTCGCTTCCACCTTCACTGCCTCCACAGGTGACAGGAGGTAAATCGTCCAGATAATGACAGACAAATATTTTCCCCACATTCATTTAGGACCTTCATGCAGCCTTTGGTGTTTTTTATGCTCATTTGCACTCCTTTGTCCTATTTAGCTGCGTGGTAGTGCACAGGTCAAACAGCTTTTTCTTAGAGACCTCTATAGACTCTGTGTCGAAAGTGCTTATAGCCAGCAGCACTATCTCATCCTGTATCAGAGTTCTTATTTTCACAGCCAAAAAGTTAAAGTTAAAGTCCTCCACAATAATTTTGCCATCCACAGTCCTGTAGATCTCAGGCTTATGTCTAAATCAACATGAAGCAGGATAGCAGAAGCACAGGCTGTTGCCATCTTGGTACTCAGAGTCACATGCCAAAGAAAGCAGCCCCTGTTTAGAAGACTGTAGAGGAAAAGAAAAAATCCTGATTATACAGGTGCTGGTCATAAAATTAGAATATCATGAAAAAATAAATTGATTTCAGTAATTCCATTTAAAAAGTGAAACTTGTATATTATATTCATACATTACATACAAACTCATATATTTCAGATGTTTATTTTGTTTAATTTTGATGATTACAAATGACAACAAATGAAAATCTCAAATTCATCATATCAGAAAATTAGAATATTACTGAAGACCAATAAAAACAAAGGATTTATAGAAATGTTGGCCAACTGAAAAGTATGAACATGAAAAGTATGAGCATGTACAGCACTCAGTATTTAGTTGGGCCTCCTTTGGCCTGTATTACTGCAGCAATGCGGCGTGGCATGGAGTCGATCAGTCTGTGGCACTGCTCAGGTGTTATGATAGCCCAGGTTGCTCTAATAGTGGCTTTTAGCTCTTCTGAATTGTTGGGTCTGGTGTATTGCATCTTCTTCTTCACAATACCCCATAGATTTTCTATGGGGTTAAGGTCAGGAGAGTTTGCTGGCCAATTAAGAACAGGGATACCATGGTCCTTCAACCAGGTACTGGTAGCTTTGGCACTGTGTGCAGGTGCCAAGTCCTGTTGGAAAATGAAATCTGCATCTCCAAAAAGTTGGTCAGCTGCAGGAAGGATGAAGTGCTCTAAAACTTCCTGGTATGTGGCTGCGTTGACCCTGGACCTCAGAAAACACAATGGACCAACACCAGCAGATGACATGGCACCCCAAACCATCACTGACTGTGGAAACTTTACACTGGACTTCAAGCAACGTGGATGAAGTGCCTCTCTTCTTTTCCTCCAGACTCTGGGACCTTGATTTCCAAAGGAAATGCAAAATTTACTTTCATCAGAGAACATGACTTTGGACCACTCACCAGCAGTCCAGTCCTGTTTCTCTTTAGCCCAGGCAAGACGCTTCTGACGCTGTCTGTGGTTCAAGAGTGGCTTGACACAAGGAATGCGACAGCAGAAACCCATGTCTTTCATACGTCTGTGTGTGGTGGTTCTTGAAGCACTCACTCCAGCTGCAGTCCACTCTTTGTGAATCTCCCCCACATTTTTAAATGGGTTTTGTTTCACAATCCTCTCCAGGGTGCGGTTATCTCTCTTGCTTGTACACTTTTTTCGACCACATCTTTTCCTTCCCTTCGCCTCTCTATTAATGTGCTTGGACACTGAGCTCTGTGAACAGCCAGCCTCTTTAGCGATGACCTTTTGTGTCTTGCCCTCCTTGTGCAAGGTGTCGATGGTCGTCTTTTGGACAACTGTCAAGTCAGCAGTCTTCCCCATGATTGTGTAGCCTATAGAACTAGACTGAAAGACCATTTAAAGGCTTTTGCAGGTGGTTTGAGTTAATTAGCTGATTAGAGTGTGGCACCAGGGGCCATCAATTTTGAACCTTTTCACAATATTCTAATTTTCTGATATGATGAATTTGAGATTTTCATTTGTTGTCATTTGTAATCATCAAAATTAAACAAAATAAACATCTGAAATATATGAGTTTGTATGTAATGTATGAATATAATATACAAGTTTCACTTTTTAAATGGAATTACTGAAATCAATCTACTTTTTCATGATATTCTAATTTTATGACCAGCACCTGTATGTACAGAGCACACTAAACATAAACGAAGATTCTATAAACTGACCTTGCTATGTTTAGTTAAATATGTCAAAATAATGAAGAAATGTTAATGTTTTATAAAGAAATGTTCTTTAGATTTTACTAACTAGTTCAGGTTTAAATGGAGTCTCACTTAAAGCATCAGTGCTGCTGGTTAAACTGCATGTATCCATCTAGGTTACCATTGCTAATGTCTTTACTTCTTGATTTTTAGAAGCAAAACCTGCAGAACCATCAGCTTCGGGGGCACAAGAAGAGATGCGTAAAAAGTAGGTGTTTGTAGCTTTAATATGTCAGCTGTTTATTTATACTGGATTTCAGTCTCGTGTCTATCTGTCTGTACATTTCTGTTGTTATATAAAACACTGGTGATCAGTTTTGCAATTTAATCTCTTATTTCCTGCTTTGTAAAAGACTTAAGCCAATTTCTTTTACATTTAAACATTACATTTGTCACATTTAAATGTTTCAGACAATCAAATATATATGTTAGTATTAGATAACTTAAAAAAAAAAAACAGCCTGAAACTTTAAGGAAATTTCTTCGGACTGACAGGAAAAAAAGTGGGACTCTGTAGGAAGTTGGGTGGATAGCGTAACATCTAATGCAAGGGAGCTGCTTCCAGAGTAGGATGATCTTAGGGTCACTGGGTCGTTACACAAACATCACTTCTTTGGAAATAAGCTAGAAAAGAAAAACCTGATTGAAGGCCCCCGACACGCTCAGTGGAGAGCTTAAATCAGAAATGCTACAGTATCAAATAGTACCAATGCTATGCTAACAGCTACAGCTCGAGTGATTTGTTGTGTTTATCTGCAGGGGCTGATTTACTCTGTCTGCATAAGAGTGATGTCGATATATTTTGGGAATGTTCTTGCACTAACTTGTTCCACAGTCAAACCCTTCTCTCTTGATTACGGCCATTGTCACCGAGAACAATTTGTGTCTTGATCTATATCGATTAAAGAAGAACGAATGTGTCTGATCTCACAGTCAATTTTATATTCTTATGATTCATATGAAAAAATATATTTTTTACCATCTAATCTATAAGGTTATGGCATTATATAGTATACAATTTTCAAAATAAAACAAAAAAACAATAATACAAACTTTCTCTTAAAAGTAAATATTTGATTTATTAACAAAAATGTCCATAAATGGTAGAATCTGCAGTTCAGTATTTACAGCGCAACACGTCTACATCAAGCTTATGTTTGATCGAACCACAATTATTAATCCTTTTAACTTAATACATCATTTTTTTCATTATATGTACAATACAAAAAGCAAAGAAAACCAGCTTCAAACGCAACAAAACTAATTAAAAACTGTGTACGTAACAGTTAATAAAACCTTTTGGTTGGAATGTAATCAACAGGTCAACCGCTACCATTCAAAGAGCAATATGGATAAGCGCTGCTGATCATCATAGTTTCAAATAATCCAGTTAAAGAATTAGATACTATTGGAAAAATATAGTTTTACACTACTTTGACACTAAAATTAAAGATCCATTGCTAGACTAATTTTAGTTTTTGTTATTTTTAGGTTTAACCACAAAATGAAATTGCACTAATTTTAGCAAATAGTTCCTAAAGTAGGTGGTTTATGGTTTCAGCCAGCAGAAAGATCAGTTCATTTAAAATCTGCAGGTGCATGAATGCACTTATGACACAATCCAAGTTGATTAAAACCAGTTGATCAACTTACTTTAGGAATTAAATTTTTTTTATTAAAAGGGAATAAACTCAGTTTTGTGCATTCTTATCTAAAATGTCTGTGTTAAATTCAGATTTTTTTAAGACTGCATGCAGGAAGCCACATTGTATTCAAAAGTAAGCAAATTTATGATGAACAACTGAAACATTTTAAAACGACTCTCTTATTGCTGTCAGATTAGAAAAATTTGTCACCCCCATGTAACTTTTTATCCTTGTTTTGGAGGGCCTAAAGAGCTGCTGGGGCTGCAGGCTGCAGATTAGGCCTCTAGCTGAAAGCAAAAGGTGGATTTCTTCTGCTGCCACTAAAAGCAGCTGTTGCACAAACATCCCTGGCTGTGGTCCTCTCTCACTTTCCAGGTCTTGGCCAACATTTCCATCTGGTCAAAGCAAGCAGTAAACCCATTAATATTATAAAATTAAACACAATTTCCAATCATCACAGCCAGATTACGAAAATTCAACATATATAAGAGGCATTGCTTTAAGACCTCTGGAAGACTTAACTTAAACACTTTGATCTTCAAAGATCAGAGCCTCTGGTTTTTTTCTGTTAGCTCTTTATGTGTTAGAGAAAAAGTCGCTCTCCATTAATTCTCAAGGTTGACAGTTCATATCATATCTGACATTAGCTACGAGCGGCAACAGGCTCTGGTGCAGGAGCAGCTGGCCAAGCTGGCCCAGAGGGAGAGAGAGACTACAGCCGCCACAGACGTGGAGGAGACCAGGCCTAGTGTCATCATGGAGAAGTGGAGAACGCATGAAGAGCAGGAGAAGGCCAAGTTACTGGTGAGTGATGCTGTCTGGGTGATTGGATATGGATGCTAGAGTTTATTTTCCATTGGTATAAGCAGAGGATATAAATGATCCACCAAAGAAGAGAATGTTGCATCTGTTTTATACACACTGGGCCAGATCTATCAAAGGTTTGCATGTATAAAAACGTGAGCTATTTCACTGCGCTCGCTAAAAAATGTACAAACTGATCTATCAACAGCGTGCTAAAAGGATTTGGTCTTTAAAACATGCTAAATAGCGCCTCTTATCCATTTAGTACTTTTTCTGCAATGAATATGCAATATGGGGCGTTTACACGCAAAAGTGCGTCTTGTGGGAGGAGAACATGTAAATATATTAATTTAGCACTCGCAAAGTGATTTATTAAACCTGAAAGCAATTTTGCTAACGGTATCTGACTCTATATTTAACATATTTCAAAAGAAGGTGCAAATGGTCTGTATGCGTAATTGCGCACACATGGAAGCGGTTATTGTCGCAAGAAGGAGACATGGAAATGAAGCAAGGAGAGGCAGAGAACACATTTTTTCCCTCCGTGTGAATATTTTTGGAATGAACGAGGAAACGATCATCAAAACATATCGTTTATCCAGCATTGCCATTTTGGAGCTGTTGGGGGAACTCCGAATGGATTTGGAGCCAGCCACAAGGAGGACCCACGCAATACCAGATATCACAAAACTCCTTGCAAACTCCTTGCAACATTGGATCTCCCAATCTCGTTTTTCAGAAGTGCTGTCTGACGTTCTAAATGCCATGTCGCCCTGACGCCCTAACGGAGAAACCAGACCTCCCCCCTGCGCCTGTGGAGCAACATGCCAATGCTGCAGGGATGCGTACGCGCAGTAATCTCATCCATTTTGGTATATGCATTTTTCTACAGGCCAATACAAAAGCCAATTTTTTTTTTTTTTTTTACTGCAGTGAAGTAGAAATTCAGCCACATACCACCTTAGGGAATAAAGGTTGCCAAAGTTTTTATATATATATATATATATATATATATATATATATATATATATATATATATATATATATATATATATATATATATATATATCTGTATGTGTATTAGTGCTGTCAATCGATTAAATTTTTTTAATCGCATCAATGCCTAAGTTAACTCGCGATTAATCGCATTTTAATCACACATTTTTTTTCTGATTGAAAATCATTTAAATACTCTCGATGACATACAAAAAATACATACAGGCTAGGTTTGTGCCAATGTTCTTTTTTTTTAAAGTGAAAACAGGTCACAGACACTGATTTATGCCATAGAAACATATGGCAAGAAGATGGGGAGGCATGTAGCAAAAAATAAGAAATCTGTAGCCAAAAAAAAGGCCCTGAAAACAGGCTGATGTAAAAGACAGTCTTTACAGTTAATACAGTCTTTTGAACAAAGACAAGCATTTTACCCTACTGCTGTAAAATGTAGTACAGTTAATATTAGATGTCAATTAACCAAGGTAATAATGAACAATTTTCCATCAATGCATCAAAATCAATAGACCGACATTACTAGATGGAGGTAGTCTATGGTCTAGAAAGTTACTTTTCAGCCTCTTAACAAAAATGAGAACACACACACAACCACCCACCCACCCACACACACATACACACGATACTGACCTGTGGCGTACACAGACAGCAAGAGTGCCGTAGCAGATTCCATTTCACCTCAGTAATCTGTTTTCTCAGCGTATTTCAGGTTGCTACTAGTTACCAGACACTCAACTTGTTTGTTGGTGGTGGGGCTTAAAGAAAAGGCACTAGCGCTACCCAGTGTATGAGCGTCTTTTTTCCTTGAGGAGCTCCGCTCTCGAAGCCTATGGAAAATGCATAGACTGGGGGAAAATAGCCCCGCCTTCCCGCAGGCTGCAGCGGGATGTACTTGGAAAATTGTACCATAAAACCACATAGCGTTAATCTCACGTTAAAAAAATTATCGCCATTAAAATGGCCTCACGTTAACGCGATAATTTTGACAGCACTAATATATATATATATATATATATATATATATATATATATATACACTCACCGGCCACTTTATTAGGTACACCTGTCCAACTGCTCATTAACACTTAATCTCTAAGCAGCCAATCACATGGCGACAACTCAGTGCATTTAGGCATGTAGACATGGTCAAGACAATCTCCTGCAGTTCAAACCGAGCATCAGTATGGGGAAGAAAGGTGATTTGAGTGACTTTGAACGTGGCATGATTGTTGGTGCCAGAAGGGCTGGTCTGAGTATTTCAGAAACTGCTGATCTACTGGGATTTTCAGGCACAACCATCTCTAGTGTTTACAGAGAATGGTCCAAAAAAGAAAAAACATCCAGTGAGCGGCAGTTCTGTGGGCGGAAATGCCTTGTTGATGCCAGAGGTCAGAGGAGAATGGCCAGACTGGTTTGAGCTGATAGAAGGGCAACAGTGACTCAAATAACCACCTGTTACAACCAAGGTGGGCAGAAGAGCATCTCTGAACGCACAGTACGTCGAACTTTGAGGCAGATGGGCTAAAGCAGCAGAAGACCACACCGGGTGCCACTCCTTTCAGCTAAGAACAGGAAACTGAGGCTACAATTTGCACAAGCTCATCGAAATTGGACAATAGAAGATTGGAAAAACGTTGCCTGGTCTGATGAGTCTTGATTTCTGCTGCGACATTCGGATGGTAGGGTCAGAATTTGGCGTCTACAACATGAAAGCATGGATCCATCCTGCCTTGTATCAACGGTTCAGGCTGGTGGTGGTGGTTTCATGGTGTGGGGAATATTTTCTTGGCACTCTTTGGGCCCCTTGGTACCAATTGAGCATCGTTGCAACGCCACGGCCTACCTGAGTATTGTTGCTGACCATGTCCATCCCTTTATGACCACAATGTACCCAACTTCTGATGGCTACTTTCAGCAGGATAATGCGCCATGTCATAAAGCTGGAATCATCTCAGACTGGTTTCTTGAACATGACAATGAGTTCACTGTACTCAAATGGCCTCCACAGTCACCAGATCTCAATCCAATAGAGCATCTTTGGGATGTGGTGGAACGGGAGATTCGCATCATGGATGTGCAGCCGACAAATCTGCGGCAACTGTGTGATGCCATCATGTCAATATGGACCAAACTCCCTGAGGAATGCTTCCAGCACCTTGTTGAATCTATGCCACGAAGAATTGAGGCAGTTCTGAAGGCAAAAGGGGGTCCAACCCGTTACTAGCATGGTGTACCTAATAAAGTGGCCGGTGAGTGTATATATATATATATATATATATATATATATATATATATATATAAATTTTTTTGTTGGGGGTCACTGTAAGATTTAAATTTCTTAATGCACTAGTTTGTACAAACTACTTTGCCGCAAACCACAAAAAGCGCAAAACCATCATTTAAATGGGGTGTCTCCAACAGTTTTGCACCTGCCACCAGTTACGCAATCACTCTTGTTAAATCAACCGCAAACCATGGGTCAGCCCATGGGCGTAAGTTTGCATAGGGACCATAGGGACATGTCCCTACCAAAATTTTGGACGGACCCATTTGTCCCTACCAATAATTGGATGTGAACAACATGTTTATAATTTACTATACAGCAGCCGCTTCTTTTCCTCTAGCAGCTTCTCTGCCTGGTAGCTGCAGCTGCCTGCTCTTTCCTGTCCCTTTCACATAGCAGCGCATCAACTGTGCTGCGCGGTTTCACTCTCTGATTATTCTGCCTTAAGTTCCGCCTTCTCTCTTTCTGATTGCGTGTTTTCTAGTCTGTATGTGCGCGCGCGGGGGTGCTTGGAGCGCGAAAAAAAAGACGCTAAAATAAATTAGTATTGGGCTACGAAACTAGTCCGAATTAAAAAACTTATTCTTTAATTTGAGAACATTTATGTGTGTGTGTGTGTGTGGGGGGGGGTAAATAGATACATTTTTTTACACTTTTATTGGTACTCATAATGATCCCTTTATAAATCAAATTAAAGGATTCTTCAATGTATGCATTTATTTTGGAGATCAGAGTTTTAAGGTATTTTTTTTCATAAAATCAGCAGCTTTTCTTATTTTGTCCTTGCGCTAGAAATGTGAGATGCCAATCTACTCCTCTTAGTCACTGTCAGTTAGGATAGACCAGGGCTCTTTGTGAAGAAGGGTCAAAAGTACAAAGGTGCTTGCAGAGTATTGACAGCAGGTGTTCCAATAATATTACCACTGGTGAATAGATATAGAAGTTTTTTAGATCTTTATCAGCGGTGCTGACATGTGTTTCCTGCATCCTGCTCCCTCATCATGTTTATGTTTGTTGGTTGAGTTCCTCAATATAACTAAGTCTGAGATAAGCAATTAATAACCTTCAACTCCTGTTTCATGTCTGCGGCTCCTGCAGCATCCAACACCACTCATTAATCCCCTTTTCTCTCTTTGCTGTTTTTTTTCTTCTTGTTATGCTAAAATTAAACATTGCAGATTTTCCACCATGCTGCCAATGTGTTTAGCTCTAATGAATACCAAACAAATCTGTTCAAATTGCTCAAAAACGTTGCGTTAAAATAAGAAATTCAGCTCTTTTTTTTTTTTAAGTTCTGCTGTCTACTTTTTGTTGTCAGGATCAGTCATAACATCCATCCGGTGTGCTTGAATTAAATTTAGCCCCTGTGTTCAAGTGGAGAGAAATCTACAAAAATAGATGAAAGCCTCAGTGGTTGGTGCTGCTTGTATCTGACAGGGTATAGCAGCACCAGATTGATGTGTGTGTTTGTATAAGTGTCGGTGTGTTCAGGTGAGAAGTAGAATTTTATTTGTGCATCGCAGTGAAAGGAAGCGGAAGCGTTTCTGCTTTAAGGTGATAATAGAAACAGAGCAGATGCCAATAAAGTGTGTGAAAGGTCTAGAGAGCGTAAAGTGAGGGGTGTTTATAAGACCTAGCTTTAGCCCCTTTTATTCACAGCCTTTTTCTCACTTCTCACCTGTGCCTTTTGCTCGGACTCACC